ATCATAGAATCTTTGCTGGACTAGAACATGAGTTAACTTCAAAAAAAAAAAAAAAAAAAAAACTACAAATATCGGCACATTTTAATTACCTTAACAAAACAAGTGGCTTCCATAACCACACCAGGCACGGCAGGCATACTTAATTTCCAGTTTACTAACCCTAAACAGGAAAATAGTTTGACGAACTCAAAAGTCAAACCGGATAGAGAAGAGAAGGAGAGAGAGATGGGTTGGGGCAGTTTAAGGTCGCTGAATGTCCCAACGGTCGATATGGGCGCGCTCGGCACCGGCGTCACTTTGGCGGTTGCTGGAATCGCGGTTGGCTATGCTCTCTGTCGGTCTTCGTCTTCCGCCAGAAAATCATCTCGTTTCGCTTGCTTCAGCATCTCCACTTCTCCCGGTAAACCAAACTTTACCCCCCATGCTTTTTTTAGAAGGAATTCGCCCCCTATGCTTTTCAAAAGAATAGTTCTAATTAATGGGTTTGTGACAGAAATAAGTAAATGTGATCACTTTTTTAATTTGTTTGACTTTTTGCTGAGTACTGAATAGGATCAAATCAATAGCTTTTTAGCTTCTGAATGGTGGGTTTCTTGTTTTTGTTGTTTTTTTCTTTGGAGAAATATTGATTTTTGTTTCTTGGAGGAATGCTTGTTATGGAGCCAGAGAATTCAGATGTACTTGGTCCAAATGCAGAAGAAAATAGATACCTTCGAATTCTTACGGTAGATTTTCATGATTGATTAGTATGTTAGGGATTTGTACTGGATGTTTTGCTGTCATTTTTATTGATTAGAGTAATTTCTATGAACTAATTTACTAAATTATGCAGCTTGGACTAAATAAATGAGAGTTTAGGAGATAGGTGGATGATGCTTTTCCCTGGTTGTGGTTCAAAATGCCCATATTTGTGTAGTTATTCTCATCTATCTGCTTCTCTTTATCATGGTTTCTTGTTATAAATGGTTTCGAGGATTGATGGTCTTAAATAATTGTAGGCCTAAAGGAGGCAGTAGCGACAGATAAGGCTCCAGCAGCGCTAGGACCTTATTCTCAGGCTATCAAAGCCAATAACCTTCTCTTTGTCTCTGGTGTGATTGGTCTTGTTCCAGAGGTTTGTGGCATGCTGATTGTGAATGCTTGTCATTTCAATGACTCAATGATTATTCTCTATGTTTTCCTTTGTCATGAAATATAATGATTATATGTAATGATGTATCTGCTGCTGTATT